AAACCAAATAATGTGTTTAGAACCCTGCAAAACATGCTTTGCATTTTAGCTTTAATGACAGATATCCTAGACTAGTACCATGTGTACATTCTCGCGATTATCAACTCTTGAAATGTAGCTGATGAAGTGATATCAGAGTTGTCAGAGAAGCTTCCTGAGAAAAAATAGGCCTTCCTGCTGCTCCAACCTTTGAATAATGAAATGTAGTGTCCTTTGTTCTGCTCTGCTTCACTTCTTTTGATAAAATAACAGCTTGTTTATGTTCTGAGTGGAGGAAAATGAATCTGTGTCTGTACTGTGTGTATCTGAAACGGCTATCGTAGATTCCTTTATCTATGTTGGATCAATCTACCATTGATCTTCGGAAATGCTGGAATTGTTCTTCTTCCACTTCTTTCTCGCTATCGCCTGAACCATGCTCCCACAACTAGCTGAATTAGACCTAGCAAAAATTACTTCCAATATGAAAATCCAGCTCAACTCATCTGATATCGGTTGAGTTATAGTACTATATATTAACTTGAAACCTAAAATGATTCAAATTAAAATTATTTAATCTAAAAGGAGTTGAGTTATGGGTGAGTTCACCCAAAATGACTCGGATTTTATTTATTTATTTTTTTATAAGATTATTTAAAAATTAATTTTTAATTTTTAATTTTTAATTTCTTAATCATAAAAGTAAAAATAAATAAAATATTTAAATTCCAACTTCCTATCAGTTTTACTTTCTTTCAACTTTTTTTTTTCTCCACTCTCCCCCTTCCCTTTTTCATCTCAAGCTATTTGATCATTTTCTTTGGTGGCACTCACATAAAAAATCAGATTAAGTGATACATAATAAGTTGTATTACATAGTATTATTAAAAAGATCTTTAAAAAAAAAAAAACAATAGAAAGCAAGAATGTTTATTGAAAATTAAAATCTAGTGTTTGAGGTACCTTTGTCATAATTAGAAACACAAAGACAAGAATACCAAGATTAATTCTTTGTTATTAATTTGTTATTAATTAATAATTTGCTTCTTGTTAATAAAGATTGATCCTGCTTTAGTTTCTTATATTTGTTTAGGTATATTCTTGATTTGTCTTTTGAATTTTAATATTGAATAAGATTATATTTTTTGTATAATACCTTTTTAAATATTGAATAGAGCTATATTTTTTGTATAATACCCTTATAAATATTGAATAAATACTAAATATTAACATATATGTTGAATTTATCTTTTGAACTTTAATCCTTCGTGTCTCTTTTTTCAATAAAAGTTAATATCTTTATGAAATTATAAATTATAAATTTTAAATATTATATAGGTATTATATATTTGACATATATTTTAATTTTATTTATGTAATCAATAATATTTTTCTTTTCTTTTTATGAGATTAGAATGAAAATTGAATCCTAAAATAAAAATTAATGTTTCATAGAACTTTCTAATTAAATAGTTAATTAGTATTAGATTATTAAATAAAAATAAAAAAAATATGAAAAAATGTTATTTTAATTTTAGTTTTTAAAAAAATTGAATTCATTCCCCTCAATTCGAAAGTCATGTAGGTCGGTCATGCGCCTCCTCGTTTAACCCAGCGCCCAAAATGATTCAATTCAAAAATTTCGAGATGCCAGACGATTCAATTCAAATCCACTCGATCCAACGTGTTTGCCATGTCTAAGCTAATATGCCACCGGTGCACTAAGGGCTTTTTCGCCACCCTTGAAGAGTTTAGGGTGTTGAAGGTGTCTGATTTTGGTTGAGGGGTTAATATGCCACCGGTACATAAGTTTTGAGGGTTTATTTACATGATTCGCCAATAGATTCAGAAGAATTACAAAAAGCTTCTAGATACATTTATCGGTTAATTGACTGTTAATTTACTATTTTTGTTTGTGTTGGTTAATCAACTGTACCAGATATTATATTTATAGTTTAATTTACGCGTATAATACAGGTTTATTCTTTGGGCCACGTCTCCATTTTGATGTTACCCGAAAGTCTCCATCTGAATCATAATCCACCATAATTTCAACAGTTTTGGGCCACATCTCCATTTCCGTCTCAACAAGGAAAGAATAATTTGACTAGGGGCTGTTATCATTACCTTTCTCCCTTAAAATTAGAACTCGGCAAAACTCCATGTTAAGTCTCTGGACTATTTTTGTAATTTTTTCATGTAAGTCCTCAAAAAATTAGTATGCAAGCCCCTAAATGTTTAGATTTGAATAAGTTAGCCCATGTTAACGAGGGAATGACATGGTTTAACATAAGTTAAACAATTGTTAGTTATTAATGTGATAATTTTTTTTATAGTTAAATATTTATCATATGTAGTTTAATACCATATTAGTTTAATATTTTTAAAATTAAGAATTAAATGATTGAATTTTATATCACATCATCTAAATATAAATGATTTACCACACAAGTAAAAAAAAAACAACAAATGAGTGATTAATTTACGTGATTACACATCATTCCACCATTAACACAAGAGCTAATTTGCTTAACTCCAGGCATCTTCTTCTTCTTCCCCTTTTTTTTTTTGAGGTCTTATGTTAGAAAATAGAAAATATCTTAAAACAGCTAAAACTAACACTGTTTCCTGTGGTCGCTTTTCTTTTCTTTTGCCTTGTGTCTACCTTCTCCCATCGGCATTTCCTTTCCTTTTCATTCTCCACTCTTTTCTTCTTTCAAGGATACAAGAGGGATTGCTCTAAAAACACCTTCTTGTGATGATTAGCATCAATATCGACTGTGGAATTCGGAGAAAAGCAAAAATGGATGGGTTTTGGAGAAGGGATGAAAGAGGTAGATGACAGGCACCATGGTCTGAGTGTTCAAAAGTACTGTGAACATAAAAAAAAACATATATTACAGATCGCCGAAAAATTTGACCTCATGATTTTTTATATTGTACCTCTAAAGTCTCAGCCTCCCTTCACATTCCCTAATTGAATTTTAAATTGAATTTCTTTTATCAATCGGTGACAATAGTATATCCAAGATAAAAAAGATTTTAATTTTAATGATATAAGGTTTACAGAAAAAAAAAATAATGACTATAAAAAATAAAAAAAATCTCATAAATTACTTTATTGGAACTACACAAATAAAAAGAAATGATCATTCAACCTTTCAAGGGTAGCCGGTAAACGCAGAAAGAAAAAAAAAAAAAAAAAAGAAACAGAGAGGAAGAAGTAGGAACAGCCCAAAGAAAGTAAGAAGGAAGGCAAAGAAACGGTGTCAGCCTTAGGTGTTTTATGACCCCACGATCTAAAACGTGTCAGAATATTATTGGTTTGGGATACATTCCACGTTATATAACACGTATATTGTAGACTTTCTCTTTTTTCTTAGCCTTAGAAACTTGACCATATGGAATGGAAAACCATTACCTTCACCAAACCTCAAAGCAGACATCAATCATTGACGTAGACTTTACAAAGAGGAAAACCTAATCCAAATTAAAAATGGTATACTAAAACGAGCAACGAGCAACGAACAAAGAGGAATACCTCTTATTCTGCAATCTGCAGCATTTTGAAAACCCTCTTGGTTTAAACATTGGTAGACATGTTTGCTTCTTCGTTCTGATTGCGACTGCCATTGAATAGGGTTTTCAGAGAATTAGTTGCAGGCTCAACCGCAGATACAATTAAATCACAGATCTCTTTGAAGGATTCCCAATCCCAAGCCCACTTTACAAAGAAGAACCATAGGATGAGCAACGTCCATCCAACGTAAGGCTCGATTATCAAAAGCAGTGGGATTAGACTTAGATACCCGATGTAGAGGTAGATTGTGCTCACAATCGTCGCCGGGCCGTTTGAATTCTCAGCTTCGAGTTTGAATCCGATTACCAGTAATACAGTAAAGATGACGATGCCGGTGAAAAATGCTGCGAAGTGGAGCCTGTGTGTGACGAAAGGGGAGGCCGTTGTTGATTGGAATCGTATTTGTAAGAGGGCGACCAATATCGAGAGCAGGGTGCCTAAAAGCCCGAGTAATTTTCTGGTCAATCTTGTCCTACAATAGGAAGAAAAGAAAAAGATTAGAAAGTTACAGAGTTACAGTAGTAGGGGTACTATTTTTGTACGAATAGTACCATTATTTCTACAAACTACTAAAGTTTAATTTGAACCGGCATTGGAGATAAAGTGGTTCGTCCCGAAGTTGAAGCTGTTTGAATTAGTTGAAATTTTAATCTCATAAACGTTTTTGAAAAATCTTCTCTTTCACTTCTTCAAAAGTTATATATTGTTTAAAAAACAATACTAAAGTTTAATTTAGTTGTTTTAATTTTATTCATTCATTTAAAATTATTAAGCAACCTCTTAGTTTCTTAACCTAATGATTTTACACATTTTTATAAGGTGTAACTTTTTAACTCTAAAGTTGAAATTTAAATTCTTTTGTAATTCATTTAAAAAAATTTAAAATTATTAAGAAATTTTATTTATTATTTCATACTCCTATGTCTTTTATTTTTACATTAAATTTTAATTAAATAAAAAATTCTACCTCATCTCCATTTGAACATAAGAGTAAAATTAGAATAATATAACATTTAATGTCTTTTTTAAAATTAAAAAAATGTGACAATTAATTTGAACTATAACAATTAAATTAGACTATCAAAATGTATTTTTATAGTAATAATGTAAAAAAATAGTTTTTTTAAATCTAATTTAAAAGGTCAATTTGTTTATAAATCTTTAAAAGGGAGCATCCCCAATAGCGGTTGGGTTCAAATACTTCCTCCTTGTATTTATACTTATTTTTAAAAAATAATTCTTTTAGTTCAAATTGTAAAAAAAAAAAAGAGGGCGGGGGGAATAGAATATGAGTTATCAAAATACCAAGATATTTAAATACTTTACCAGGAGTGCATGCGTATAGGTCAAGGACATACTGATTTGTTGTTATATGCGACAAGCCAACAAGGCAACAACATAACTGAAGCAAATATTTTAGTGGTTTGGGAGGTTAAGCGCACTGACTCCAAACTACAAGGGGTGTAACTTTAATTTGACTAAAATTTTAGCAACAACAACCCGGGTCGGTTTCAAGACATCTCGATTACCAAACCTGGAATCCGATTCGTGTCTGAAACCCACCTGAATGTTGCAGCCCTAAATTATTCAGTGGCGAATGGTCTGGCGCTAACCTTTGGACAGGGGATAACGTAGGAGGCATTTTCCTCTGCTTTTAACTAGCTCTTGGCCCGCAACCGCAAGCCTAAGAACTAGTGAACTAAGGAGGCAGAGTTTGGACAAATGTCGATTAAGTCAGTGTCCTTTCGACGAAGGAAGCTGGAAAAATCGCCTATCCCTCTCAGTCTCAGGCAATAGGATTGCCTTGGGTGCTTAGTGAACTACGGAGGGATAGCCGACTTTTCCGGCTTCATTCTTTGAACGGCACATAATAAGGCACTAGGCCACCTTCTTGAACTGCACATAATAAGGCACTAGGCCACCTTCTTGAACTGCACATATTTCTCTCTGTATAAATCAATCCTTATATAGAAGAGGGATGAGGGATGGGTCAGATGGAGGGTTAGAACTAACTGCGGTTAGACCCACTAAGTCGGCAAATGAACTGAACGGGAGATGGGTCACAGGGAGGGTTAGAACTAACTGGGGTTAAGTACACCGCAGTTGGCAAATTAAATGAATTCCGAAAGAGCAATGCTAGGGGCACTCGCCTCCCGCACTCTCCGGCTAACACTTTCTCTTTTATTGGGCCACGTTATTTTGGTTTCCGAGGGTTTGCCTGAAAACTTTAAAGAAGCTTACGTGGCCCAATGAAAGGGGAAGTGTTGGCCGGAGAGTGCAAAAAGCGAGTGCCCCTAGCACTGCTCATCCCGAAAGTAACGGAGTATTTTACAAGAAGCCGAGCCATTTATGTGAACGAAAGCCGACTCATTTAGAACATAAGCCGAGTCATTTGTTCACAGAAGCCTGGTCCTTTGTTCCAATGTTTTAAAAACCGGACCGGACCGGCCGGTTGAACCGGTCGGACCGGTACCCGGTATCAAAAACGGTTCGGCTCAACATTTAAAA